CGACTATTGTAATCCGCTCTGGAAAGACTGACCAGCATCTTGTTGGATCCAGAGTATAAGCTAAATTCATCGTTGGTGTCTGTGAGCATATCTTCCCTAAAGTCAATGCTTTCCCCACCAGTGTAACTGGCAGTCCATTTCCATAACGGAAGCTAAAGCATTGCCCCAATATGATTGAATGTCTGGCTATGTGGGTCGTATAAAGCCATTCTTTGAATTTGTACTGTTTGCAGTCTGACTGATAGCTCTATAGGACTGAACAAATAAGTGGCCCCTCTGTCAGCGATTACAATCCAGGTTACATTTGCTACATGAGATGTCAGATGAGGAGGGAGGGAGGGGAGGCTTACACAAAATGAGGCTGAGGGTATTTGGTTTTTACAGGTTATGCTTTGTGCCTAGTTTAATTGGCATGTGTCCCATTTATTAGATCTAGTAGTTACATGGGATGCTGTTATCTCACCCATATGGGAGTGTTACATTTTTACACAAACTTGTTGTTTGACATAGGTTCAGAACTGTGGAGGTCAGCACATTAGTTCATCTTAATATATTGCATTTCTAAACCAACATGCATGCAAGGCACTCTCCGCACTTCACAGACAACTGAGGTAAGCCTCCCAGCATCCTTGTGGAGAAGGACAAGGATTGGTTGTGGGGAAACTGAGACCGAGCTGTGAAGTGCCTTGCCCAGGGTCTTGGAAGGAGTCAGCGTCCAAGCCAAAACTAGAACTCAAGAGGGCCTTGCCTGGGCCTTTCTCAGGTGAAGGCCATAGATTGTCCTACTGGCTTCCCACAGTACCATGTAAATTGAATTGGTGACATGTAAATTGAATTGGCTTGCATCATGCATATTTACCCTGCCTTTGACATGGGATATGATGGGTTTATTAGTAACTACCGACAGCAGCTCTGTTTTGCTTACCTGCTAGCTTCTCTTGACGGGGAACTAGCTCGCTGCTGAAGAGAGGAACAAGGAATTTAATCCCTCCTTCTCCCAAATACAAAGTCTGCTCTGCCGAAAAGAGTTAAACGTGATATAATTGTTTGCGGTTACAAGGCTTCTTGAAAAACATACAAGGCTTGGTAAGATAGGCTCATGAGAACAGCATGCCAAATGCAAGGTTAATAGATCGAAGAACAAAGAAAGTAGGTCACACAAGAGAAGATACAATACATAGGAATGCTGTGACCCTAAAAAGGACTTGGGGGGTCATGATAGATATCTACAATGCTGCACTGGAAGCTCACTTTCTCTTGGTTAAGAGCACAAATGCAGTCCTTGGATTCATAAGTGAAGGATACCAAGTAGAAATAAAGAGGTAGTATTACCTCTGTATATGGCATTAACTAAAGAAACGCAGTCTATTTAGCTGATCAAGTGATCTCTTAATCTTTTCTTTGATCATGGTATACTAGTACAGTAGAACCTCCAAGTTACGAACACCTCAGGAATGGAGGTTGTTTGTAATTCTGAACAAAATGTTATGGTTCTTTCAAAAGTTTACAACT